TGTTAACAAATAAACGGGGGGAAGCACGGTTGGTTAGCCACGATTTCTGGAACAGGTTGTGTTGAGTCAACCGACATGACCGATTCAGCGAATGCGCTCACCAAATAAGCATTGTTATAATAAAGACTGCAAAGGGATATACGACAAGCATTCATGTACTCCGCAGCTGCAATTGCGTGTCCACATGGTAATTTCACTGGTTCGAAATGCCGACATGTGCACTTTCGCTCTACCAAATTCACAACATTGAAAGACGCCCCAGAAGATTCATATTTAACTTCAGTGTGATGATCATCAATTCTTTGTACCGTCAAATCTCTGGCGGCATTTACACGACCTTAGTAAAAAATATATAATAAATGTGAAACGGCTGACTTATGACATATAAAGGATGATTTAAGAGCTACAAAGACTGAGTTATAAATTTTAAACGCTGGCTTATTTTTACTGTTACGACTGATTTACATGTAGTAGTTTCTCCAGACCACGCAGCATGGTTGGCTGCAATCTGGCATCCTCTCTCCGTTCAGCAAACCATCTGGTCAACATAACCTGTATCGATTCTAATATTCGAACAATGTTAAGACCTCTAGCATTCGACAATGCTCTGTTCATTGATTTTGCTATGTTTGTAATCATCAAATTGTATCTATTGCCCGAGAAATGAACACGCGTCCACAGTCGGACATCAGCTCTTTGGAGGTAGCCGTGGAGTGAGGATTAATCGCTTCAATCTCCTCAAAAATCATAGTAAAGTCAGACATCCTAAAACATCTCGCCGCTTTCTTCACCAGACGAAATACATTGTTTCCTTTGTACCATCCCAATATGTTCTTATATAAATGGTAGGTGCATATTCCCCTAGAAGATAAATGATACACATTTCTAATTGCTTTCCCTATCGAGTTATGCATATAAGATATTATCGCAAGAACCTCATCTTCAGGAATCAAAAATTGTAGTTGCGTAAAAAAAAAATGCCACGAATCATCATTTTCAGTGTCAACCACTGCGAAGGCTATTGAGAAAATCTGAAAGTTACCATCCTGAGTTAGTGATGTGAGTAGCGTCACTTTGTATTTACCATTAAAAAACGTACCCTCGACAAGAACAACTTTGCGCATTAAAGGAAACCCATTTACGCTCGCACCAAACGCAAGAAACACATACATGAATCTTCCAACCTCGTCGATTTGAAGACGCGTAACTGTACTCGGGTTTTCCCTTCTTATCATGTATAAGTAAGAAGGCAGGCTTTCAAAACCAAACCCAGGTGTGATTTTCCTTGTAAATTTTAGCGTCCGGTGTGATTTCCAATAATCTATTAAAAATGATATATACACATAACTAAGCCGCATCATATAAGTAAGACAACCACAACCAAAAATAACCCAGTCACATATAAAATTATAATAACCCAGGTATTCACTCATCGATTTCCTTTGTAAATTTCAGCGTCCGGTGTGATTTCCAATAATCTATCATTTCATATTAGAAAATGATATATACACATAACTAAACCGCATCATATAAGAAAGAAAGCCACAACCGAAAATAACTCATTAACATATAACATTATAATAACCCATGTGTTCCCTCATTGATTTCCTTTGTAAATTTTAACGTCCGGTGTGATTTCCAATAATCTATCTTTTCATATTAAAAAAATGATACCCATAACTAAGCCGCATCATATAAGTAATACAGCCACAACGTAAAATAACTCAGTCACATCTAACATTATAATAACCCAGCCGCATCGTATAAATATGCCACGTTTTTTCTCCTTTCACGTCACTAAAATATTCATTCTCATTGTCCTCTTGTTCCTTCTCCAACCTGCAACCATCGTAACTCCCACTGTAATTTTCGTCTCTGTACGCAACTTCTGAAGCTTCTACTTCTGTGCTAAAACTGAAACATGTTTTACTCTTCTCTCTTGCTATGCCATCCTTGTTCTCCGTAATCTCCACACAGAGACATAGTTGTTCGATTTTCTTTAGGCTTAGAAAACCTTGCAATTGTCGAGTATTGTCCACGTAAACTGGTGGAGTGTCATGCGCCATTGTTTTCAATGCTTTATTCGAGAACATGTAGCTAAGCTGAATATGATCCCTCAAATCATTCAATCCGTAATCATCGAGAACAGACTTTGCGAAACCTTCAAGTGTTGTTTTCTCATCTAAATGAAGAACTCCACACCCTCTATTGTCGACGTTAAATACATATCTGTTTTTCTTAACCAGTTACCGGAAACAATAATTACCGGATCCATAACCAACTGAGAAAGATGAAGACGATAGAAAACTAAGATGAAGAAGAACATGAACAATCTCATAAACCAATTTGTAAATTTTCTTCGTTAGTGATGACATGACAAATCAAAGTTGATGACATGGCAGATGGCATGGACAATCAGTTAATCTGTCGACAAACAAATTTATAACTCAGCCTTAGTAAACCAGCAATTATCTTCAGTGTAAGTCAACCGAACCGTGGATAATATTTCAGTAAAATCTTTTGCTAATAAAGCATCCGTAATTGGGATGAAAAACCATAAGGCCGTATCATCACATAAATCAGCCATCAAACGAATTCAATCTAGTAATTAAATCTTTTGCTAATAAGTCAGCCGTAAATAAGCTGAGATTACTCCATCTTACTACGGCTTATTAAATATAAACTCAGCCGTAACATCATCCCATTAGTCGACTGTAAATTCAATAACTCAGCCAGTCGATGTTCATTAACTCAGCCAACGAAATTTAACTCAGCCCTTTCTTAACTACAATTCAGCCGAATTTTCCAGAAATCAAACCGCCGATGTATAAGCCAGCCGTAACTTGTGTTCATATGTCAGTCGTTATCCCATAAATCAGTCAGAGTTATGATATTAAGTCAGTGATTTTCTCTTAAGTCAGCCGAGTTTATTTATTCAGCTAAAACGTAGAAATAAATCAGCCGTAACTATGTATATTGCACTTTACAGCTGACTTAATGAAAACACGGAACCGAATTTCTATGTGGCGCCGGGTTTTGCTTATGGCAGCGAAAACTAATGACATTCTTGTAAATACGTTTTTCTCATAACGTAAAAAAAAACACACTTAGTATTTAAAAAATACCAGTCATAAAAAGAAGATTTGTAAGGTTCTAATTAATTGTCCTAACATATGTTATGTTTGAGTAAACTTCCCTTAAAAATATATGATTGACTGTTCTTCTTACTAAGGTAGGGTGCATGGAAGCTTCGTCATACGTGCGCTTCCCGCTTCGGAATCAGAATCGGAAACAAAAGCTTGTGGAATCTCTCGGAATCTTGATTCCATTGCGTTTCCGAAAACACATTTTTAAAAACACATTGGAAGCTTACGATTCCGTTTTAGAATCATGCTTCCATTTTAAAAGATTCAATGTCATAAGTAAATAAAAATATAAGAAACATTAGTTTTGTTTTTATATAATAGTGAAATAGAGAATAAAAGTATACAATATTAAAACTAATATTATAAAAATTATGTTTATGCATTAAGGATTTATTAAAGATATATCGTATATATTCAAATAGATTGTGTTAATTATTTACGAAATATTAAAAAATAATTAGTATAATAATATCTTATAAACTTGATTTATGTATATTTTCACGTTTTTAACCTAAAATCATTTAAAATTATTATAAATAAATAAATGTTTTATTTTAAATTTGACTCTAATAATTTCTAGTCATATTTGTAACTTTTTATATTTTAATATGTGTATATATATACATATATGAATATACGCTTTCAACATGTTTCCGCTTCCTATTTTTTTTAAAAATCTCGCTTCTACGCTTGCATACGATTCCGTTTCTGAGTATCCGCTTCCGTTTCCATGTAACATAGCTAAGGTCTCGATAACACTTTACTTAGGAGCAAACAATACAACATCAATTGTGCACATTTAAATTGAAACACGAACACAAAGCTAAACATGAGTCTGTTAAAAAAAAAAGAGAGAGACGAAAGCAGTTAAATTTGGTTTATCAAGGCTTCAGGAGAAGGATATCCCAAAGCAATGAGATCCTTTTATAGAATCTTTAATTTGTCTACAAATCCTATAAGAACAACTCACAAAGCCACTATATTTTTCTTATTATTTTTCATAGTAAAATACAAATCAAAATTATGGTGAATACCCATTTCAAAGCTAATCTCATGCACATAAACCGTTGACAAATTAATCTTATTTAGACATATACTTTTTACAGAAAAAAATGTTCAAAATAATACAACTACCCAGTAACCAATTAATGAAAGTAAAGTAAAAAAAAATAACATTGCAACTATTGACATAAAGAAGAACACAGTTTTACACTAATGACAATTACCACCAATATCAAATGTATCATATAGTTAACATTTTGAAATTACATTATCTGCAATTCAATATATATACAAATGTCCATATATAGCACAAATATATGACAATCTGTGGACACGCCACTAGTGATGTATATAAACTTGCAGATAATGTATATAAACTTTGGATTGGCAGAAAAGAATAAAAATAGTTGGTAAAAAGTGTGTTTATAGTTTGTTATAAGTTGACAATTGAGACATATCCAATGCTGCTTTCCTATCAATAATAAATCCAAAATTAGCCAAAAATCCAACATTCTAAAAATAAGCCTAATATAATCTTACGGCGACGAAATCTCCTACACCTATTTTCTTGCTTTATAATATTTTATTCCACTTTTCTTTAATTTTTTTTTTGTAGAAAAAAATCTGAAAAATTCCCGAATTACAATTTGATCAACCTCTTTTCTTCTTCTTCAACAACATTTCTACATCAATCTCAACATTGTTAATTAATCCGAAGAAGGAAGAGGCTAGAGCATCAATCTTTTTAAATATATTAATCGGGGTTTCAATTTGCATTTCTTTGTTTTCTTTGATATTTCCTATTTAATTTTACAAAAAAAAAATAACCCTAAAAAGATCCTCGCGGCAAAGATGTCCACGGGAGAGAGATCGCCTAGGAGTAAAGTGAAGTTCATGAGCAGCTTTGGTGGCAAAATCCTCCCTAGACCTTCTGATGGCCTTCTCAAATACGTTGGCGGAGAGACTCGCGTCATCTCCGTTTCTCCAGACATCACATTTGCCGGTAAAACGACTCTTCTACTCTCCTGCCGTAATCAAATCATTGATGTGAAATATTTTTTTATATAATTTCAGAACTCATCAAGAAACTCACAGAGATCGCAGAAAACGACGTCGTGCTCAAATACCAAATCACCCCTGAAGATCTCGACGCGTTAGTCTCCGTAAAGTCGGACGAAGATCTCAAACACATGATGGATGAATACAACCGTCACGAAGCTCCGAAGCTGAGAACCTTCTTGTTTCCAGCGAACCCATTGGTTCTCGAGAATCAGTTAGGTCCTATCGAGCCACAAACGATAGAGCAACGTTACATCGAAGCAGTCAATGGCGTTCTACGCAAGAGTCATTCTCTTCGTGCCCCAATCAAAACACGACCTTCTTTCACCCTCTCTGCTTCCTCTTCTCCGAGATCAGAATCATCACCAGATGGATATTTTCATGAGCTGCCTGAAACTGGTAGCTACCAGTTGAGCAGGCTTTACCCAATGCATAAAGTACATAGCAGTCCAAACATCACTCAACCACATAGCTATCACCACCACAATGCTTACCTTCAGCCACCTAACTACTTGACTTGTAGGCTGCGACCACCACCATCACCCCCGTTAGTTTTACATAGAGGATGGGATCCACCTAGTAACGCCCATAACTCCGGTGGTGGTAATAGAAATGGCGGGTGTAATGAAGAACGTAGGTTCTTGGGTAGAACAGGTAGTGTTCCTCAAAGTCCTATGAACCATGTGCTTCGTCTCTGATATTGCTGCATGACATTTGCGGCCACCATCTTTGTATATTTGGTCTTTGTGTTTTCTTGTACAGTTTTCAGACATTTGTAGGTATCTAAATGTGTGCGTCGCGTGCGTGATATGCTGCAGGAGAATGTTTACTGTCTTGTGAAAGGGCTGCAAGATGCTATCTTTGGTTTATTGTACATGTGTTTGTAAATCTGATGAGAATTTGTGGTTGAGAACATGGATCATGTGTTTGTAAAATCTCATCTCTTTGATTAATCATGTGTACGATAAAATAAAGAAAATAGCTGTTAAGAGTTGGTACACATTTCTTTTCCAGCGAAATTAGAACTTTCTTAACTTGATAACATATTGTCATAATATACTGGAGTTAACTAATTAGGTAGATACAACAATCATCATCTACTATGAATAAAAGGAAATAATTTGAAACTCGACCTGGACACCTGGACACCGAGCCACATAAATCAACCATAGATTAATAAATTAATTAATTTTATTATCTAATACTATATTAGCTATAAAAATAAAATATAAAAGATAAAGTTAAGTATTTCTTTTTTTTAAACATAAGATAATAATTTGGATATATATATTTATTTTGTTTTACAAAAATTAAAAATAAAATATCAAAAAATAGTTTAGACTATTTATTTTTTATAACAAGTTAACAAATTAAGAATGATCACATCTAGCCAAAAATATCAAGATTTAAAATTTATAGTCTTGAAAATAGTAGAACTTAAAACCTAGAACATGTAAACGTAATAAGCGAGATTTATGGTAACCAAAATAATCAAAAAGCAAAAAAAAAAAAAAAAAGAAGAATGAGATACAAAATCGGTAGAGGTTAGCAGAATAAAATAACAATAAACTGAAAATCTAACTTTTTAATTGAAAATTTAGACTACAAAACAGATTCTAAAAATAATTAAAACTAAAAAAGTAAATAAAAGTTATTTAGTGATTCAACCAGTAACCAAGTTCTAGGTATTAGTGGTTTTTTTAGGTTTTATTGGATTTTAAAATATTAATTTTTCACAAAATCCAAATTGAATTTATTTTAGATCACCAAATTTACTGGTTCAACCACAGGCTTGGGGTCGGATTTCAAAACACTAAAAAGTAATGAAAGTGTGAAAAATTTATGTACTTCAAGGAATACTTGTAATAAAATGTGGTTCATGTCAAGTTTGCAGAAGATGTATTTTTTTTTTTGTGATGGTCGAATAATACTGAGAAGCATTGGCGTCATCCAGCATAGCATAAGTTTGTTTAACTTAAGTAGTAGATCGTGTTTGATGTTATTAAAGTGGAGTTTGTTGGGATTTGTCAAAGATTCCGCTAGAGACTTCGTCATGATTTGGTGACGAAAATCAAATAAGACCGATAACTTAAACCAAGACAAAGACATCATATAAGAAAAAAATATAAGTTTTATGTTATAGAAGTTGGAAATATTCTTAATAAATTTATGGAAATTTGTGAAAAATCCTAATCCAACTAAGTTAATGTAATAGACTCCTTTTATATAGATTTTTTTGTCATAGGTGTGTTCTATTGTTGTGTGTGTTTTTATACTAAACAAGCTAGCTTATGGCTTGTGAGAAAGAGAAACGTACTTGATTTTTGCTTTTAAAATTATAGTAAATTGCTTTAAAAATTATAGTAATTAATTGCTTTAAAAAAATTATAGTAAATTGCTTTTTTTTACGAGGCTCTAGAGATATAGCCATTTTGAGTGAACTTTGGATAAACAATTGTTTGTGTCTATCTTCTATATTCTTTCCGCGTTCTTCTTATAGTCTTCATAAATCTACAAATTCATATTTTCTAACATATCGAGTTTGCTAGAGAGTGTATCGTGAGTTTGTGTGCTTAATTCTAGTTCAAGGACAAACAGTTTTGCCATTGTCTTTCAACATATGGATTTAGGATCCACAGTTTCCAGTCAAGTTGTACTAAACAAAGAGACTGTAACACCCGTATTTTCCATAATAATAAAATAAATAAAATTGTCTGAAATCTCTATTTATTAAATTGCATAAATCGTTTCCAAACTTTATAAATTTAATAAATAGCCATAGATCCAAATAATATAACAAATCTCGAAAATATCGATAAAAGCATAAGTCTGAAAATAAATAAATAAAACTCCCATAAGCACCAGTCCGAAATGATCACTCCAGATCGTCAGTTTCATCTGAAAGGGGAAGAAAAAGGGGTGAGTAACAAGGGAGTCACTCAGTAAGGTATGGATGCTAAACACGCAAAACACTGACTTGAGTAAATAGAACTCCCACTATGGAAGTTTAGCTCTAACATGAACAATCAACACACCTAAGACATCACATAGAACAACCAATGCGCTGATAGTGCATAGCTAAACCACACACCCCGCATCTCCTTATACAGATATACATCATATGCTGCGTCGTGAGTACAGTATGTCTCTGTATCCCCGCTCTCAAAAGATGCGTCAAATGCAAACGTCTTCGCACCCGCGCCCCACACAAGTTGCGTCACTAGCCCAGACGTCTCTGAGCCCCCGCCCTCAATAGTTGCGTCGCTAGTCCAGGCATCCATGAACCCCCGTCCTCGCACATAGTCCGTACTCATAACTATGTATATATATATATAGCATCGCCTAACATCACACAATCCAATAAACGGTTGAATCCTCTAGACCCCTAGTTCCAATTTACAGTGAATGAACTAACTACCAATCAAAACTCAAACATGCTCAATTCAAACAGACGAATCATGCTTCGAAATCTAAACTACGATAGGAAGAATTTTATACTGGTTCGGGAGTTACGGATTATACCCTCACATTTTCCATGGGTTCAGAAGAAACCTGATAAAACATTGAATGACCTTGATGGCTTTAAAAACAGCAACTCTGGAACTCTTTAAAAATAGTTGAAAAAGATGATTCTGACAGAACTAAACCCTAGAGAAAACAGATGAATAACTCACGAACTGACCGTTAAGTTTCCAATCCCTCTGGTCATAATGTATTCCTAGATTGTGTCAATCCATAGACACCGAGTTTACTCCGATCGGACACCATTTGATCAACCAAAATGGCTTCACTTTCAGACTGGTCGCAAACGAAGACTTCAGCAATACCTCTCGCAAAAATAAACACAACTTTCAGAAAACAACTCAAAATGACAATCCGCTTCCCGGAAATGATAGACAAACAAGTTAACTACTTACTGACAAAATTCCAGACTTAAAGCTTTTGTTTAGGATGACCGTTTCACCTTTACGCTGAGACTGTTCGGAACTGCCTCTGTATCGCAGCAGCTTAAGTTTATTCTTGGACAAGAAGCAACGCCAATAACTATGGCTGTACAACTCCGATCTTGATTCCGTTTGTTGCTACAGATTCCTGGAAACAAGATCTATCCAAAGAGCCATGACTCACATCCTAGAACCCCCTGGATCGTACTAGAAACCTCTCGCAAAACAACTCCTCAGCCATGGGTCTGATGTATCTATCTCTTCTCAGCTTAAGACGTGATGAAGTCTCTGCTGCACAAATCTGGTGCCATAGGATACACAGGAGCGCAACTCAATGGTGGTTGGTGATGATGAGATATAGTGGCTCCGGTTCGTACATCCTCTTTCCTTGTCATCTATGCTCATGTGAACAACGCTTGAGTAGGATGGTGGTTGCGTCTCGTATCGGCTTCTCTGATAAACTTACACACACAAGGAGAAGAAGTGATATGTGTACTGAGCGAGAGAGATGGGAAGGGGATGAGAAATCATGAGGCATGGAAGTATGCGGCTAGGTTTTAAGAAGATGGAGATGCATACATGTTTATATACATCGCTGTGGTTTTGTTTTTAGATTAGTTTAGTCCAATTAAATAATCAAACCAATTTCAATATCGGTTTATTAGAAACCGGATCGTTACAAAGACATTTTCTATAGGTACTGGAATACTTCCCTTTATAAGGTCCACTGAATAATAGGCTCGACCCACGCGGACACCGGCCCAACGAGGTAACACCTCGTTGATTAACGACCAGTTTAGCTTAACTCGGATAATCTCTGCGATTAACCAAGTTAACGACGCTTAGCTGAGGTACTTACCTTAGCGGGCCGACCAAGGCCCATCTAGCGAAAGCCCCTCCGTACACGCGAACAGTTCGATAGGTCAAGAGAATGCCGCTATAAAAGGAAGAGAGAGGGTAACAAGAAGAGGATCCGAAATCAGACCTACTCACAAGGCGGCTAGAATTACGGTTTTCACTCTTGTATTTTCTTCTGACTTGTACGACACGGCCAAGCTCTCCGAGCGACGCCGCCTCGCCTTTTGTTTCCTCATTTGTAAACCGAACTCTTTCAGTAATAAAACTACTCTTCCACTCATAAATAATAAAACATCTTTGAAATAACCAACAGACGAGTCCAGTCACTCTTTTACCGATAAGACTGAACTCGGTTCGAACAGTTGGCGCCCACCGTGGGGCATAACAAAGTAGCGTCAAAATAGAAATGAGTCCGAGTAACGATTCAACCTCCGGCGAAGAGGGGGATGCCATAGCACCGACCTCAGGCGCCGCCGTACCACTCGCTCTGACGTTCGTCAATTCCGTCATGGAGCGCCTTGCTTACCAAGACGAAGCCCAGAAGATGAAAAACGAGCACCTCGCGGCTATTGCCGCCATACTCGCAAAACCAGAAGGTACCGGAGGAAACCTTTCGACGGCTCGACGGTTTCTATTCAACACAAACCCTACCCCTACTCTGGCCAACCAGCCCATCGTGCCGATCAGACTCCCGAACGACTCCGCACAACCGGTAAACAGCCCAGATCTACAAACTATCCAAGAAATTGCTGCTCTCAAGCAAGCCCTCCTCGACATAAACTCAAAGATCCACGGAGTCATGACCTCCGCTCCGCTCATCAAACGCGTCCTCACGGACACCCTCCGATCTCCGTTCACTAGCAAGATAACCAGCGTAAGGCTCCGCAAAATGGACATGATCCGCCTGCCGGTCTACGATGGTCTTTCGGACCCAACGGCCCACATCACGTCCTTCAACATCGCAATGTGGAGACAAAACTTCTCCGACGAAGAGAAAGACGCTGGCTTCTACCAACTCATCGTCGAGAGCCTAACTGGCGTAGCCCTCACATGGTTCACCGGCTTACCAGAAAATTCCGTCGATGGCTTCCACGAATTGTCATCTGTATTCCTGAAGAACTATATTATGTTCACACGTGAGGAGGCCACCGCTTCAGATCTCTGGAACTTTTCCCAGGCACAAGGGCAGAGCCT